GCAAGCATGTTCGGGATGCGGTTCTGCCTCTCGAAGTGCAAAATGTTACTTCCAGTATTGATTGGGTTGCATCGACACCCGAACTAATGATAGGGAGTGAAGTAGTTGAGCGTGTCGACTGCTTCACTTATCTTGGAAGTCTCATCAGCCCTTGTGGTCTGGTGTGTGACGAAATCTCAGCACGGATACAGAAGGCTCGAGTAGCTTTTGCCAACTTGCGTCATTTATGGCGTGGGCGAGATATCCGTCTGTCAACCAAAGGACGTGTTTCCGGCGCAGCTGTTCTTTCCGTCCTACTTTATGACAGTGAAACGTGGCCGGTAAGAGTAGAGGATATCCGTTGGTTACTAGTATTCGATCATAGGTGTCTCCGAAACATTGCTCGTATATCCTGGGACCACCGGATAAGTAACTCAGTTGTTAGGAAACGGGTACTAGGTAAGGATGGCAAATCCATTGATGAAGTAGTAAAACTTCATGAGTTGAGATGGCTGGAACACGTGTTACGTATGACCAACGACCGACTGCCTCGACGTGCTATGTTCAGTGGTATAGGAGTAGGTTGGAAGAAAGCTAAGGGCGGCCAGATCAAAACATGGCACAAGTCCATGAAGTCACTGACAAGTGGACCGAGTCATGTTGTTAGGTGTAGACTACCTGGTTGGGGACCGTGAGATGATAGCAACTGATGGTTAGAGACCCTGAATGACATGGCTCAAAATTGTTTGCAATGGCGCAGGTACATCAACTCTTTATGTTCTCCCAAGTTCTAATCTTCTGAATTTGTCATGTCCCTTGTGTTCTCTTTCCAAATTTATTTCACTGAATTATAATCCTTGAATAGCATCTTCAAACCCTAATGTTTCCGATTACTGCTTATACTTTTACTACCTCCACTACTATGGGATTTGAATGGACAACTGCATCTCTGTGCTAATGTGGTATTGCAACACGAACTGATGTACGTACGTACGAATTTCTACGTTGTTACTGACTGACTGACACGTTCATGTGTTCGTAATTTTCAATAAGTGTAAAAGGTATGACGTCAATATTTCATGTGTTATGGATGCTGTTCTTTCAAACCTACACTTTTTGTTATATCATTTTATTCTGCAGTTAAGTCTTTCGTTCTTTTATTTAGAATAAATGGAAAATGTTTCTGACTTATGTGTCGACCACTTATGCTCATAGTAAGTTCAGTAGTATACTAAGCACAAATTTATTTACGAAGCTCAAATTGCCACTTCGTGGAGTCCATTTTTTCTACTACTAACACAATAAAGATCGAGAAAGACGGATTAGTTATTGGAAATATGTCCTAATTTCATCCGTCTACTTTACCTAACAATCTCCACGTTACTTATTCCTTCATTAGCTGTAACAGACCAAGGGTATTAGTTTTCTTATCCTCAAGCTACCGAAAGTTAATTTATATTGGTTATCTTCCTTGATCGGATAAGGTCAAGTGAATAACCACACTTCAGTCATGCAAATGTGTTTCTGCAACACAATTTTCATTCATAACTTCAAACCCTAGGTTTCTGTTTGGTGTAACGTGTTCTTTTATTTAATATTGAAGGTTGTCACATGTGTTTCAGAGTTCTGTTTTAGAAGACTAGTGATCCCGTATAATAAACTTGATTTATTAACACTGGTTATGAAAGAGAAGATATAACTAAGGATCCATTTCTAACAAGAATAGAAGCACATGTGATGAAAAAGAAGCGAGTACGTTAGTCGGCTGAGATTTATAAAAATCTGATTTTAGAAGAAAAAATTAACGTAGAAAGCCCATTGCAACATTGAGAAAAAATTAAAATCAATTCCACGAGAAAAAAATTTTCTTTCATATGATTCACAAAGGTTGATTATTATTTTTTAGGATCGGGGTTTGTGGAGATTAATAATTTCAGTAGTTGAATTCATGAGTTGATGTAAGCTAGACCACCAGTGAAAACCTGGAAGACATTAACCCCTTTGGATGCCGGCTCAGTGGTTTAAATGTTAGGCGTTCGCACGCAAAATCGAAGATCCTAGGTTGGATTTTCGCGGGCGGAATCGTGGATGCGCACTACTGACGAGCCCCATATTAGGACGAAACGTGGTTCAAGGTTTTCAATGGTGGTCTAGCTTACATCGACTCATGAATTCAAGTATTATGATTATTATTTAGCACATAACAATTTATAATAAGGTAGATAGATATTGGGTCACTTAAGGATTCATCGTGTGTATCAAAAAACTAGGTAAAAAGCTAAAGAGTAGTGCGAAACAGTTAGATGAAAATAAATCATAGTTGAAAGATAATTGCCCACTTGAAGAATATTAAGGAAACGTCAGAATAAGGAATAAAATGAGTTAGCAGCGTCTAAAGTTGAAATGGATTTACTGTTGTCGTAATTTTTTAGACCAAGATAAAATGAGGGCTTGAGGACATCGTTTTTAAACGCACGTATTAGACTTAGGGTTGTATATTCCCAACGGATCTTTTGACGCGAAGCTACTTCTTAAGAGGTTACATGACCAGAATTGAACAAGTGTTGGAAAATGTGACCATTGGTTGTTTTACATTTACCTTTTCTTAGCCATGCAGGGCAACTCTCGAAATGTACTTGAAGAAAGCACGCTTTTGAAAAGAGCTCATATTTCTCAGTCGACTTAAAGTAGTTGAAGACAAACCAGTTGACCTACAATTCAACCGTCCTTAGTTTAAAGGGTCTTGAGCGGTCTAACAGCAGACTAAATAAACTGAGACTTTATATCCCTGGTGAGTACATTTACAATATGGCGAAATAACTAATATTTCCATATGGTCGAAAATTACTACCGTGGAAGAAATGGATTATCCAAATTGAAGACAATCGCAGTTATACGATCGTATTCACTAAATAAATTAAGTGGAATTATAACTATAATGTTTGTAAAATATTAGATTGTTATTAAGCTGGATTCTTGCACTTAGAAGTAGTTCTAAATTAAAATGACGTATGTCATACTGTAGCCAATGAACAAGCCAAGTCCAGAGTCAACACAGATTATGAAATATGTACACTTAGTCTTCAATCTTCCATTTTCATCTATTGTGTGTTCCGCAACCCATGTTAGTTGTAGACTGCTTTTGTGGTCTCACTAGTATCGATAACTCTCCGAGCTTTTGGGTTCCTGAGACTGTTGTCTTCGGCTGTCGACTGCGACGCTCCGCTATATACTACTTATAAGCACTCATGTGAGTAGCACCCAGTACAATATGTTTGAGCAATATCAAGGCTGAAAGGAAGTGATGCACAATCGTGTTAGTACTTTTCTTTATTAGAGGAGAATTTATGTGAATTATGAGAGATAGGCGATTGATCTGTTGACTTGATCGTGTCCACGTCGTCGCTGCTCATAAATCTGAATTTATGAATTTAATCCCGACAATAAACATATGTCAATAAACAGAATAGCTTGTCTGCAAAAATTGAGTTGTTTTTTATGAAGAAATTACACACTTAGATACAAAGTATTTTACATATAGAAAGCATGATTAAAATTCATCTAAAATGTCAGTGAGTGCTAGACATTGGTCTACTAATTCACTCATGAACTTAAAAAGTAAAGGCCTAACGTCGACAAACTTACACGTTTCCCCCTCATACCAAAGCCAAATGCAATGAATTGATTCATGTTTGACTTAAAATTTAAAACACAAATGATTATGTTATAAAAACTACTAAAAACACTGCTATAAACACGAATGCATTTAAATAAGAGTATCGTAACTGTCAACTGTGGATGCTTCCTGCTAAGAAGTTCATCAACTTTACAACAGTAGTCAAATACTTTACTGAATATCTAGGTCATTTACTAGTTCATTTGATTTATAGTAATACAGAAATTCTTACATTAAAATATCTGAAAAAAAGTACTAATACCTCAGTTTTATTCGAAAATTCCACTAATTCATAAAAAAAGTTGAGACGCTGTAACAATTATTTATTAAATAATTTATTACAGCAGTTAAAGAGAATAATGTGTATATCTTCTTAACTTTTGCTCATTTAGTAGAAGTATCTCTAAGTTTTAATTCATAAAGGTATTTCCTTTGAACACATATTACCATCTGATTGTACATTCACTCAACCAATAAAAACTAAGGAGCATGAAAATTAGATAAAAATGTTTGATAGATGATACGCATAAATCTTAAAACGGTGCATAGTGTGGTGAGATACGATCTAGTTAACCGAATACCCATGTATGAAGCACAGTTTAAACTCATGGCCATTATGTTGTAGTCAGTTTTCTAAAGCCACTCAGCTACAGTTCAGCCATTCAATTAGTATAGGGATCAAATTTATTTGCTTAAGTGAAAAACATTAATTAGTATTAAGAACCAGAAAATCAACGTGATTACGAATATTCTCCAAATAGAAGTTACTTCATCTTAATAATATTGCATCTGATGGTAAAGTATCTGTCATAAATCAAATGTGTGAACGCAATCATAATGATATAGAACAAATAATTCAAGAAGCTTTTTTACTCTGAAAACGTAACCTAAATTATTTATCTACTTTCAATTAATTCATTGTGACTACATTGTGGTGTTACAATCAGCATATAGTATTTTTCATTCAAATCAACTGAATTCCACAGGTGATATAACTTAGCACAGTATATGCTGTATGTACAATCATTTATCTTCTTCTTTTCTTATGATATGCCTCATTCATTTTGAAAATGTCTTAAATCCAATAGCTCAGTAAGCTGAGTAACCAGTGAAATGGTTGCTCACCTATCCCAAAGTTTAACTAAAGTTAAAGGTTACGAATCACTTCATAACCGATTCCGTCGTTGAACGATATTGTGTTCATCGCAGTATCTGGAAATTTCATGTATCCATGCTGTGTGAGTAGATTGTTGATATGTTTTAGTTTTTATTAATTATTATTTGATGTCAATAAATTATGAGAATAATAATACTTGAATAATTAAATGATTATTTCTTATTCTAGGTCTATACATCCCTTTATTCACTTCATGGCTTCTGTTGGCGCAAGCCAATGCAAACAACTACGCTGATGCCTGATACACCTATAATTTATAAGATTCTAAAAAGAGTTGCTACTATGCAACATGAATCACGTCACACCAGTGATCAAATTAATCCTTCTGAAGGTACACCTGGTCATGAGTTATTACAAGCAGCAGTCAGAGAATTCGATGCCATTGATCGAGCACGGCGTGGTTTATGCAAAAAGGTTCAAAGACATCTAATACTCCTAGCCATGTCTCCAGTTGATACAAGTAAACTCTGGGAGTCAGATTCATCTTTTATAGAATTGGGAGACAATGGTTCTAAACTAAACTCTCAAGAACCACTTAAAAATTTAAGGATGAGAGGAGTTGCTTTGAGTGTTTTTTCACCTATCCAAAGTCCAAGTCTTTTGAAACTGTATGAATTAGTTAATGGAACTCCAGCCTCACCTTTCTATGATCGACGCTGGCAAACAGTTGCTTTATCAGGTATGTTCATTTTTCATTGCGAATAAATTTAGTTTATTTTCTAAGTAATAACATTAGTTATGTATACGAATTTTTGTTAACCTACTTAATGGGTTTATCATAGGTGTTATTATTTTTTCTGTCGTGTGTCAGTCTTTCCTCCACAACTAACATTGAGAAGAGTTAATTTTTTTGGTCAGAAAAGTGCTTATCCTTTGTATTTTCTGTTCACTGTTTTAAAATTTCTGAGTGAAAATGTGTGTAGAATATAATTCCTACATTATTGGTTCTAATCTACAAGGCTTTCTGATTAGAATTGTAATAATTTACACTACACTCACTTAATACAATCGCAAGACATAGTTGAATTATATTATTAAATATTGTACAGTATACTTTCAATGCTCTGAACATATCACTTTGTTTTTAATATTAGTTCCGTTTGATAGAACATAGATATCTTTTAGTTAAAGGATCCTTTACATATTGTGCACACAGGAAATATCTGATAAAGTTCATTTTTATGTGTTGTTATAAGTCATTTGTGATATGTCAAGTAAAATCTGATGGGGAGCTGCAGTGGTAAAAATCAAAATGTTTAATTTAATGGTCAACCGGATAGAAATTTTCCTACTCTAGGTTTTGATTCATCCTGCTACGTAGTTGGGACAGTCTTATCGATAGATCCATTTTGTTATTAAACAGATTAACATAAGCCATGTAGTCGATTTCTTATCATAATTCTAGATTCCTCAAAAATGTGTATTAATAGTGTTTTTCTTAAATATCTACTCTTCACAATCATATGAAAGATTTTGTCTTCCGATAATCCACGGCCCAGTAAGACATAAGAGTATGAGGGTAGTAATCATATTTGTTATCAATTCGTTTATTTTCGATGTAAACCCTTTCTGATTGTTGTACTAAATTTACTTGGCTGCTTAAAAGATAAAGACCAATCAGCAATGTATTTAAACAGACATTCGATATCAGAATATTTAACCCACTAAGCAATATTAAAGTCATTGCGAATTTATAGAACAAAAGTTACGGGAAATAGTCAAGAAAACTGCATCATAAATGTTGCTGCCTCAGTCATCATCAATGTTGAGCCTCACAAAGATATGTGTTTCCTCTAGTTACTATAACACTTTAGCATGACGAGATGAATATAACATGATAAACTTCGAAATAATGTAGTATCACTAACCGTAAAAACCATTGAACATTTTTAATATCATTCGAAAAGACAGTAATAAAGTGTGTATGAAAGAATACTGAAATTCGAGGTAAGGTGGAAGATAAAGAGTGAATACACCTGTGTGATTGTGGACGGTTTTGTTCCATTTCACCTAAAGTCTTCAACCATTTGTTATAATGATCGTGTGAACCCCAACCAGATGGTCTATATCTACCAACGTAACCCAAAATAACAATTGTTAACTCTATAGACTGATAACATTCCTTGGTTTTGTCGCTCATAGCTTTCTTCCAGCTTATTCCTACGGCAACAAACCCCATCACTGCCTCCCATTTGGTCATATGTGTAAGCTTCATGGACACAAAAGGATTGGTAGGGAACAGTAGATCTATACAATACACCTCAAGATTTCGCAAACAAACTTATGCCATTTTGATTCTGAAACCTTTTATCTATAATTTCCTTATTTTTTTCTTAAAGGAGCACATATTTTAGTAATAATAGTAAACTAATGACGCCTTGTCAGAGACAATGTCACTGCAGTTAGATAGAATAGTGTGAGCTTGCCCCCAAAAGCCCTGGTACGGCCGAGGGTGGGGAGAGTCCGCTCTTCCATTCGAAGTGCCCTCACATGGCCACGCGTATACACCCACCACCAGGGAAGTTCTACTCACTTCCTTTCTCGCGGCGGGGGTGTTGTTTACGAAATTGAGAGGACGAGAAGCAAATGCCCGACGCTTTGACCGGGTTGGTGGATACGGATGGTCCATCTAGTGGAGTTGCAAAACTGATCCCAAACCAATGGTGCACATGGGCTTCAGTATCCTGAAGGAACAAATGGCGTATGAACCAACCGTTGATCACTGGCTACCTTGGGGCTGCATATCCTAACGTTGTTCCACTATCTTGTATATTAGACCCACAGGTCAAAGGCTTGGGAGTGGCCCTCTAATAAAACCACCTACTTCGGTCTGAGCACCCGAGCAGTATCACAGCCGACGCACAAATCAAATGACTTGTGTGATGCATATGTATTTGGTGCTCCTTTGTACCAATATTTACGTGTTCAAATAAATAATTAATTGAATAAATAAATCTTCAGTAGAAGCCTTCTAAAATGACAGAAATGAAGTATCGATGGTTAAGTCGACCATTAACTCAGTAAATTTTGTGGTTGACCAAACTTGAAATCAGACTGTGAATTTAAACTTTCAAGTAATAACATTATTAACTCATTCTGGAAGTTATAAGTTTGATTGAGTACATCCTCACATTTATTTAATTATTTATTTATATTTCAAGTGCAAACATATGACTATTCCACATTCCTTTCGAAGAAATTGGTGATAACTTTGCGTCAGCACTTATGCTGAACTGTTTTTTCGAACCTGTTCCTACTGGTTCAATAATATGCTTAGGAATTTTCGGTACTCTGTTGCTGGTTAAATTGTTTTATTTCCCATCTCGATAGTTTCCACTCAATAGTATTTCCAATTTCTTATTCATACTAGACAAACTATTAGAATCAGATATACCTGAAAGACGAATTGTCGGTCCTATGGCTGCAGCTTTTCATGCTCAAACTGAGGCTGAATTGTCTATCATCGAGCATAAACAGATTTTCTCTAAACAGACACTCACAAATGGACATTCCAATAGAATAATTGATGATTCTCATCCTCCGTCTCATACAAGTGCACTTACAAGCGATCACAGTTTAAATAATCGTTGCGTTGTTATCAGTAATAATAAATATCCAGTTCAGGAACAGAACTTGCAACAATCCACATACTGTACAGAAACGTCTGCTTATCCCATTACTTCGAATTCATCTCTAACCATAGCGACAGATGGCTCTTTCCGTACTGATTCTAATTCTTGTGGTGGAAACAGTTCGTCCCAGTACACAAACGACGGTTTATCACCTATGGCAGTTACTCAGGTATTTGATATATATAGTAGTTTTCAAAAATATCTTTAATTGAAAATTAGGTGAATAATAATTATAGTCCCATTTTCCTACTGTTTTAATTGATTTCTTCATATCATTTTCTGTTATTGTTGACTGATATTGTGTAGACAATTGTCAATGATATGAAATGTTTGGATTGTGAGTATCATAAATTTAAAGAGTTTTATGACAGTCGTTTTGTTTCAAGGTTGAACAGTTAAAAAAGACAAGCCTTACATTAGAACAATGAGTTGTAAACAGTGAAGATACCTGTTTAATTATTCAATTATTATGAGAAAAGACTTGATTAAATCTCTTTATTTTTTAATTAACGAGTAGCATTTGTCTAAGTTTCTGTTTACACACATGATTAAAAGCTAATCTAATAATACTTTTCGCGTTAACTCTTATTGTCCTATTTATTATGCAAACTCTGATAGACAGTCAAATCAGACACTAATTGTCATATAAGTTTTTCTTAGGAAACTACTCAATGAGAATCCTGCTGAACTATGTTCTCATATTCATGTTGATTTAGATAGTCATTTCATAGTAGTCGTTTTATAGTATGTGTCATTGCTTATTCCAAATTGCGGAAGGTATTTCCGGGGAATTAAATCACTCTAGCTTCTGCACTGTCTCAACTTGAGTTTTCCTTTCTTTTCAGTCTCTAGCAATATACAGAATAAACTAGCAACTCTGATCGTGATTATCGTTATTTACCTCCGAAGCTAACAAATGTGCGAATACTAGACCTCCGACGAAATCTTTTGTATGTAGTCAAAGTAGGAGACCGAAAAATAGACCTGATATTCAAATCATATAACGTTCTTAAGAAATGGTATATAGAACATGGAAAATTACTACCCGATGCCGTTCCATAGTTTTGATGTAGTGGGGCCAATGATACAGAAGATATGTGAACCATAGCAGACGACTTTAAAGCCCTCACTGTGGAAAAAGTCTAAAAATTTAACATATCGACTTTAGGAGGAAATTATAGGACTATATTAGAGATTATGACTTTAGGACTATTTAGTCACTAACTGAAGATAAAGAGAGTTTATAGAAGGTTCGGTATTATTTTTACTCTATTTTTTGACTATGCTAATAATCCTTCCTTCTGAATATCACAGATGGTATATCATGTTCAAATATCCATTTTTGGTTCAGCCACACTAATCACATATCTCAATCGAATTATTGAATGGATGATCACATTTAGTTTATTTCTTTTTTTACTGTATTTTCCATTTAACTGAATCACACACTCAAACCCTCTTGCTTAATTATAAGAAACCTTTAACCGTCGTTCATATTCCGTAAACAATATTAAATTTGTTTTATGTAACAAGTTTATCAACTAAAAGCTTATGTACTCACCTGTGAAGCACTCTATTTGTGTAGCAGCTAGCAATATTATCTGACAATCGATATGGATAAAAGTGGAGGGCTTGGGACCATAACCCACTGATTGGGAACCGTGAGGTATAATATTCAGGTCACCACTCCCCCAAATTCCAAACGTACTCTTCACAAACTAAATGTATCCGATTATTGTTCATCACACTTCCGAATCATTCATTCAGTCAGTCAGTCAGTCATTCAACTACAACGTAGAACCAGACACACTGGTCCAAGTTGCCATACCTCATTAGCGCAATAAGATGAATACCAAATTCATACAAGTGGTTACTTCAGTGGTAGTAAAAAACACACTTCGTATAAGGATATGATACAGGGAGAAAGAATTAGTTCGTAGAAAGAAATGTATAAAATGATTTTAATCTCACGGTTTAAGAGAAAACAAATAGTGTATGCACCTTCTTCATTGTGATATATTCTAAGCCATGTCACCCAGTGTCTCCAAACATTGGTTACGATAGTCGCGCGGACCCCAACCAAGTAGTCTTCATCTACCAACATAACTCAGACCAGAAGTTAGTGACTTTACGGATCGATGTCACGTTTTGGTTTTTGATTATATCATAGTTGGAAAAACTAAATACAATTCATTGTTTAATAAAAACAAGCTATAATAGCAATTATACATATATTTTAATGCATGTATATACAGAATTAGTGGTATATGCTTATACATAGTTGCCTCAAATTTAAATATACAATAGGATAATGCATGTAAATATATATATGTGCGTACGTGTAGTGATTAAAAAACCTTGCTGTACAACAATTAGGTAAATAAATTAACTAGATCAATAATATCGTGTGAACATGGGGCGAAATAAACTTACATAATATTAATCTTGTCAGGTTTAATTAGTAAAAAAATATAGTTAATATGAAATTATGGATTAAAAGAGTAAATTAAGTAATGATTGTCTCTGATGTTACTTTATTTATAAACTCACCAGGTGCATGTTCGTGTACTTGGTTTCGAGGACTAATGATACTACCTGACTGTTCAAACAAAATCAGATGAAATAGGGTTCGAACTTATTGCCTGCTGTCTGGAACGGTATCCATCCAAAACGGTGTACATCACTAAGGGCAAGCACTAATAAGGTCGACCATTAAAACACCTCATATTAATAGTGACAAGCATCAAAATAGGTGGTAAAATTTAAGGGTTTGAAATTTGATTAGTTTGCTGTTTGTGCTTTTGTCTCTACGATCAATCTAACAAGTAATTCTTCAAGCGTTCGACAAAAAGTCTACTTTTAATAAGTACTGTAGTGAAACTGAGAATCTAGTTGACCTGCCTAATAATTAATATGAGATTCTACAGTAGTGAGGTTAATACAGTATGTTTTTGCACTTATTATTCAATATTGTTTTGATATGATTTTCGCAGCCTAGTTATTTTAAGCCCCTGATTATTATCTGTCAGTGAATACGAATTATTTGACGACATAGACCATTAGTCATATGTTTGACATGATATTCATATTTCCACTTATAATCACGAAAGTTATTAGACGTTAATATTAATCCCTTATTAAGAATAGACTACTGATGATAGATCATTTTGCGAATATTTGTGGGGTATCTGAGAAATTTCCTAATTTGTACTTATATTCGATTGATCATTCACTGTTACAATGATAAATTAGAATTACTTAATAAACGATTTTACATCTGTTATGGATGCAGAATAATATACCAATCATTATCATGTTAAGTCTAATGATGTCCTTGGACGTTAAATGGACATTTCCTATTGGCCATTATTTATTTCATTCGTTAAATATTGTACAAATGTTGTTTTCTATTTTTATGGTGCGATGTGGTCTGTTTGGTTAGTATATAAATAGAGTATGTCTGAAATACAATGATTCATATCTCAGAGGCTGTGACTTGTTTTCTGGACTCAACTGGCCGTGTTAGATAGGGAAGCGGGACCAATCAGGACACTAGGTCGTCCTTACGTGTTATACGCGTCAATTGGCACAGGGTAGAAGTCGAACCAAGTTTAAAGTCACAACAACATCATATAAGAATACAAAATAGGCATGACTATGATTTATCCTTAAATTATCGTAGCCTTTAGTCTGGAATGCATGCATGAATAAAGTATACAGATCATTTTGTTTAGATTAAAAAAATGAGATATAGTTCTTGAGCATTCATACATATTTAAGTTCTTGTTAAAAATGTGATTTACAATATGAATGTTTATCAATCGGGAAATTTAAGTCAACAAACTTAATTTTACGGAAAACAATTACATCAAAAAAGAATATGGTTGTCAATGCTTTATTCGAATGGAATTATTTTGGCATACAGAATAAGCCGTTGACTGAGGACCAGTATTAAAATGGGTTTTTTTACTCCCAAGTTTATTGTCAGCGGTTAAACAAAAAGCCTCAGAATGTTTAACTTCAATAATAGACCTCCTTTAATTATTTCCAATTCCATTTACTCGTTCATAGAGTAGGACTTATATAGGTAGGACAGATAGAGGAGATTATCTAAAAGAATATAAAATCACCCGGCAGCACCACGAATTTGTCCGTTTCGAAAATTCTTAATAAAAATCCGAATAGTCTGTCGTTAAATAATTCGTATTCACTGACAGATAATAATCAGGGGCTTAAAATAACTAGGCTGCGAAAATCATATCAAAACAATATTGAATAATAAGTGCAAAAACATACTGTATTAACCTCACTACTGTAGAATCTCATATTAATTATTAGGCAGGTCAACTAGATTCTCAGTTTCACTACAGTACTTATTAAAAGTAGACTTTTTGTCGAACGCTTGAAGAATTACTTGTTAGATTGATCGTAGAGACAAAAGCACAAACAGCAAACTAATCAAATTTCAAACCCTTAAATTTTACCACCTATTTTGATGCTTGTCACTATTAATATGAGGTGTTTTAATGGTCGACCTTATTAGTGCTTGCCCTTAGTGATGTACACCGTTTTGGATGGATACCGTTCCAGACAGCAGGCAATAAGTTCGAACCCTATTTCATCTGATTTTGTTTGAACAGTCAGGTAGTATCATTAGTCCTCGAAACCAAGTACACGAACATGCACCTGGTGAGTTTATAAATAAAGTAACATCAGAGACAATCATTGCTTAATTCACTTTTCTTTTGTCCTTATTACTGTACACTCCTATTCATGCGAACCGGCTGGAATTTGAATTATATACGTTGAAACACCGCTCCAGGTCTTTAAACAATTTTTAACTGTTGGAATAACTCAGTCATGGCACTTGCAAACATTTATTTCAACGAGAGGATTTTCATTTTGATCACAATCTCTGATATCGAGTAGGAAAGTTCTATCTGCGATTCTAGTGCCACTGACAACCTCTTTTATTCTTAGTTAGAACATTTCAGAAATAATCATTCAAAACCATATTATTTTAATGTACCATACGAATAGTTTTTTAGCAATGTACAATTGGTTATTTTCCGTACGTTTGAAGGAAATTTGTTGAAAATGGATTCATTTCTTTTTTTTGTTAAGTTGTTTCCTGTTAACAAATATTACATACACAGCTACATGTTATGACTAATTTTAATCGTGAACTATCTGTTATATTTTTTCTATTATTAACCTTTCTTTTTAATTCTTTAGGATTTTGTTTTCTTTCTGTTTTTTTCTTTGTATCACAAATTAAGTGGAGCGGTGAGTAATTAGTTAAGGTTTTTGGATTTTAACCACTTAGTTACAAGATGTGACCCTGCTCCAACTATTTTCGTTTTGACAAGTATGTGGTCTTACTAGCCCTCACACTTAGAATGTAGTTCATAACCAAGTACACGAATAAGTGCCTTTTTAGTGAGTTAATAACAATAACGATCGATCATAAATCCATATCGAATTGGCTAATATATTTTTCTATTATAGTTCTGTGCTACTGCTTCACCCATTGGATCCTATCAACGTCCTTTACGTAATCCTTCGGCACTTGCACCTATTCAATATCCACCAACTATTGTTCCTAATTATTCTGCTCGAAGTGTTTGTAATAGTCGTGGTGGTTCAGAGAGTAATAATAATACTAATAACAATAATAATGTACGATCTGTTGAGGTAAGTTAAATTTTAATTCAGCATATTTCATTGTCATCGATGGCACTTTTACAAGACTATTTATCTTGTTTTTGTATGTGTATACTGTTATATTGTACAGTATATACCATTATTCACAAACTTTAGATAAAAAAACCCAATAAATGTGCTATTTATCGTTTCGCGGAGATAATACACAATTGTAAATTCCAGTTGTCACGAATCAGAATGAATAAGTTGCAGAAAATATTAGCCGTTGCATCTCCATTCAAACGTTCAGTGCTATCATGTTACCTTAAATATTATAGTTTTCTAATGTTGATGAGTCTCAAATTAGAACAAAGCAACTATGCACTTCTCAATAATACGAATCAACTTTAACATTTAAATCGTCTTTGCTGTTCATTATATTGTCATGAGGATATTTAATAATTTTCTTCTCAAGTCTTGCTTGTTCTACCTGAACTGAAATCACATTAACCACAAATTCCAGTGATAGCATTTTTTAGAAATGGCTATTTATTCACTATTTATCAATCGTTAGTTTTCATTCACTTGCTTTCCCTTTCTTCTCTTTTGATGGTGATTTTTTTTTACAAAGTCTTAATTGCAGGGTGGGTTTTGTGAAGATTTTTTTTTACAAATTTCATAGGTTGAAATCATGAGTCATTTGAAGCTAGACCACCATGGAAAAACCCATTCTGATATTAACCAACTGCTCACTAGTGACTGAGTTCAGGGGATACTTCTGGAGTTCTAGTGAGAAGCCGTTACCAGTGGAGTTCAACCAGGTCTGTTGTGAGATATCAGCTCACTGAAGACAATTGTGTACGGTGGCGCAACTTCGTGGATTGGTTGAAGTTAGACATTAACACCGTTGGATGTCGGCTCAGTGGTCTAGTGGTTAAGTGCTCGCGCGCGAAACCATTAGGTCCTGGGTTTGAATCCCACTGGGTGCGGGATCGTGGATGCGCACTGTTGAGGAGTCCCGTACTAGGACGAAACGGCCTTCCAGTGCTTCCAGGTTTTCCATGGTGGTCTAGCTTCATTTGACTCATGATTTTAACCTATGAAAAGTCTTAATTATTATTCTCTTTGAGATTATTAATACAAATTTTTAATTTAATGTTTACTAGTATACCTATTGTTATAAGTCTTACAATTCTGTGACACCACTCAATCTTTCCGAAAAAAACATACATCCATATACATATGCAATAAACAAGATCTGCAACGTTTGAGCGATTGATCAATCAACTAATCGTTTTAAATAATCATAGTAATGCATCATTATTAGACAATTTCATTATGGAAAGTAGCACTTATTCATGGTGTTCTTTTTATTTTCTCTTATATTCCATTAGCTCAATATTTCATGTTATTGTAAACTAACAAGTCAAATAATTTATTGTTTTTTATGTGATAAAAAACAGACAAACGTACAAACTGTAATATACTTGTCCTAATTTCCTTTTTTGATTGCCTTTAATGATTTTTATGTAGAGAATGGTTCATTTGGTCAGTTAGATAATTAATTAGTCGATCTTGTATGTATATGTACATTTTCATGCTTAGTATTATGGTATGTGTAGTTCACTGAGCGGATTTAAGATGAATGAAATAATGATAAGCATGATTATAATTAATTTTATCATAAGTAATAATCATAGTTATTATAAGAGAGTTATCAGCTGGCAACATAAACACTATATATATAATCATTCGACTTTCAATTCAGTTATTTTACTTAACTCTAATGTTTAATGTTTGACTGAACATATTATTTTAATGATAATGTTTGTATTCATCTTTCTTAAATGTCAACTTCACTTTTTTAATGTACATTAAATAAGATCTATTTTGTAGGTAGAGTATAATCAGGGAAGTGTAGAAAAAGATATCACGTTTTTAAAAAAAGAGAACATTATCACTGAGTTGTTTGTATCAGTAGAGGCTAAGTTAAGTATATTAACCTTTCTTAATTTTTATTTATAACTGTATTAGAATGTCTGCTTAATTAGAAAAACTAGCGTTTTACTTTTATTACAAAAAACATTGACCATCAAAATATCTGTTGGCTATATAAAATAACCTACTTTTAGTACTGCCGTATTGCAATACTGTTGTATTTATGTCAGTTACGGGAGAAATTACGTCAGCCTCACTAATCAATTTTTAGACATATCACCTTCAGTTTTCAACTGCTGATTTGAACACAACTACAAAGGCTATCCAATTATGTATGAATAATCCATAAGTTGTGAATCATTCTATATTACAGACATTTTTGTTCTATATGAGTTTTTTTTTGGAAAAAAACGACGTGGTTTACAGTATTTCAGCTTAATTAAGAACTCAATCATATATAAGTCATTTGAAGTCAAGAAAGTTTTTGAACGTTTTGATAAGAATTCATTTTTTAATTAATATCGATTTCATTTTATTTAGGGTATTACACCATTGGCAAACTCACTATCAGCTGGTCATTCTGGACCCAATTCGGTTGATCAAACACCTGGAAATGTATATGGCTCTGATTCAGTAGCTACACCTCAAGGAATGTATGCCTCCCAAACTGGAACTGTATCACCTTTACAGGTGGCTAACAATTCTCATCCAGCATCCCAGCTTCATTCTCCACTAGCTTCTGGTGGACTACATTCGCATCAACTAATACCATCCTCAATTCAGTCTTCATACAATGCCTATCATCATAACACTAGTCATATATATCAGAATCAACAGTCTCTATACGATCAAAATACATCAAAGGTAATGCCTGGTACTGCACCTTCACCTAATTTACTACAAAATTCTTTTCGGCCTTCATCAAATGCGCCCTCACCCAGTTCACAATTTATACCAACCACAGTGAACACTTCTGGTCTATCTTCACCGTGTTCATCGCGTGTGCCTAGCAAACAATATTCTCCTCAACTAACACCTCATCAACAACAAGGTTCTCCTCAAAATCGTCTAACTTGTCCTGGAGGAACTCAAAAACCAATTCACTCTCAGGTATGTGGTTTAGTATTCAATGAATTGAAGAAATGGGCAATGTTATTAACTAATATACACGACCACATAATAGTTAGAGATGATTTTGTTTAGTAATCTCTTCAAGGTACACCTGTTTTAAACAAAATAGATGTTCATAAATCGGATGTCGGAAGGTTTTATGGATTAGAACTGTACTGACGGAAGTTAACATCAAAATAAGCTATTTCACACATATCAAGCCGACCGCATATTTTAAATAGCCTAATCTTTCAACCTATTATATTAAGGTAAAGTACTGGGTCCAGTTCTCAATTAGTCATATAAAATTGTAGAAGGAAGTATTTTCATTTATTTTGAATACTCTTGAAAAGCGGATTGAGAGGATAAAAAGTGAACGTCAGGCGCTCTAACAGAGTTGGTGGATACGGAGGGTCCATCTAGGGGAGTTGCAAAACTCTGATCCCAAACCAATGGTGCACATGGGCTTCAGTATCCTGAAGGAACAAATGGCGTATGAACCAACCGTTGATCACTGGCTACCTTGGGGCTGCATATCCTAACGTTGTTCCACTATCTTGTATATTAGACCCACAGGTCAAAGGCTTGGGAGTGGCCCTCTAATAAAACCACCTACTTCGGTCTGAGCACCCGAGCAGTATCACAGCCGACGCACAAATCAAATGACTTGTGTGATGCATATGTATTTGGTGCTCCTTTGTACCAGTGTTTATGTGTTTGAATAATTATGATAACTTGAATCTCCCATTTCGTCAGTAAATCCAAAGTATGATCTCATAATATCTTTTGTATTGACCGTCCTCTAGAATAATCTATATTCTTTGCTTGCTAGCTTATGTTACTTTTCGGCACTTTTTATTAGATTGTTTCTTTAATAAATAATAATATTATAGAGGAAAAAGTAATGAAGTATCTTTCATCTTTCGGAAGTTATTTAGTTATAATGGTCGCATTTAATAGTTAACAACTGATTGATTCATTCCTAAATGTTCTTTAATATTAACCACAAATTACAGATACCGTATTTTCCGGTTTTCAGGTATTTTCTATTAATTTCTTGTCTTTCCATTCACTGGTCCTTACAGTAACTTGTCAGTTATAACTTATTTTCAGCTAGTTATCAGTTGGAATGCCATGTACGTCAGACACCACTATCTTACATATATGTGTGTCTATATCCGTTTATACAGACCACTTTTTCAAATTAGAACAAAATAATACAAGATTTTAAAGCTATTTGGATGTGATAAAACAATGTATTTTTAACGGTTTGAAGACAAATAACTAAAACGATCTGTATAATTTCTATGCTTCAAAATGTAATTATTACACATAACCCACAAATATTAATTCACTGTTTTTCATTCATTATTAAATAAAGAGAGTTCAGTTGCGTTTTTCTCTTAATGGAATTTTCGATAACACCTTTGTCGTATTTTCATAAATTTAATATTTTTAAGGTTGCACGGCTTAATAGTATCAGTCCGTGTAATGTTTACAATTAGATAACCAATATATATATATATATATATATATATATATAATTGTAGGGCACTCCCTAAACATTGATTTAAGTGGATCTTATCTAAGTAGCCAACAATTTACTAGATGATCTAACTCATGCTTTTATTCGACAATTCTTTATCTTAGTATTTAGCTACTGGGCTTAAATAAGTAGTCTCTGTGTGCCGAATAGTGTGGAGTTCATTTATCTAATGGTGATTATAATATTCTTATAATTCGATGAATGAAAAAAAAGTTGCAGACGTGCACATTTATATCCTTTATTTTCAAAATTACAGGCAGGGGATCTGAATGATAACTTGCTATTTGATAAACGTCTAGAAAAGCATTACTGCTCTTTTCCGGATGTATATATGTCTGATAAACATTTTTCACCACCTTGTTAAACAAAATTCTTCTATCATAACTCTATAACAATAATGAGCTTGCTTTCTAATGTTGTCTACAATCGCAGTTCACACAAACCTGTTTGCATGCATAGTATAGATCTAAACACTTTGTACCTCCCATTATTGACGTTATATTTTATAACTATAATAAGGTAACTTTATAAGTTTGTTATAGAATAATATATAAATTGACAGAGTATAAATAATCTTCCTTCCTATTCTAATTTCAATCTTTTTGTTTTCTTTGTGAAAAAATCGTTTCATTAATCTCGTAAGTTATATGCTCATATATATATGTATAAATTGATTTCAATCCTTATCGATTATATCTTCAATCTCTTTTGTTATTGCTGTATATTGTCATTTTATTATGTTTATTTCATTGTCTCCTTGACTTTTTGTTCTATTGATTCCGAAAAATATTGTTATTTGATATTGGTTTTTCCCACTTTGTTTTCAATAGATTAAGTTTTTTTTTTCTATATACCATTCACTTTGTTGTTGTTGCTTATTTTATGAAGTGGAAATATTTATTCATTGCTACTTGGATGCTTTATATAATTGAAGAAATTCAGTCAGCAGATGTGTGTCTGTATATGAACTAAGGAAATCATGAACTCTTCTCTATCTCTCCCATCACTTTTAAAATGAGCAAGATCATTTATTCAGGCTGATTTTACCAAACGTAGCTTTTTATCTTTGTATTCAGTCAGTTTGTCAATTCTAGATAACTTAACACACGTAACGTGACACAATTATTCATCTGGTTGAGTTACCTCATCATATCACCATATCAACGGAGGGAATTCATCGTTATCTACTAGCCTACCAAGGCTAATAAGACATCCGTATTCATATCCAACTATCTTTTACTGGATTGGTAAAACGTGATCACATTGGTTGTTTCCCAACATTCTTAATACGTCTCATTTAGTTCTTTTTCCTAACACAATTTGTTATACATTAACATAATTTAGTTTAAATGAATTCTCTCCAAGTCATTCCATCGTGGCTTTCAGTTTTCTTAATTTTTCCAACTTAGATATCTGCATTTGTTGGCCTGGATATAATTGGTAGCCAGTGATTTTGTGGATTGTTATTACATCATACCCTGAGAATAGTATTCATCCAATTTACGATCGCTATAAACTGTTTATTACAACTGTATTTTGTTCAGTGATATTCCAGTTATCTGTACTGGTTTTCATGACATTTGCTGTTAGCATTCACACAATGTTTCCACTCAAACTACATTCCAAAGTTAATACTGTCAAGTTGAACTTACAGATGTGTGATCGAAGTTAAACAACTTTTTACATCTAAAATATATTCTCCCTTGTAATTTCGTTTGCACAACAAGTTAGTGTTTTCAGTAGCGATCAAAGTTGTGTCCAGGTTACTCTTTTCATCATGTTTGGAACTTGTCGACTGGATATATATCCGTCTACGAAAATGTTTTCACTAAAGTTCAAAATCGATACATGTCGTTTAAAAAAAACGGTGCACATCATTTATTCATTAGCCGCTACCCAGAATATGAATATGCCTTTTAATGTTCATTATACCTATGTTTTTAATTAAGTAGCTTATTTGAATATATCAATGGGGAAACACAAATTTTTGCGATAATAATAATAACAAGAACAACATATCTATATACTCAATGATTCCATGGGGAATATTTAGGCTATACACTTTGTAAAAATAAGCAGACTTTGACGTAAACATTTCATCAGTATCTAGAAGTTGACGATTTTCTTTCGGTACTTAATCAGCTTACCAATCTTCTTTGCAATTCTTGCTCACCTTGATCATTTATTAGGTATATTTATGCTTCTGGATAAAGATAAAATTTAAAGTGAATTACTTTTTTTGTTTTCTGACATGATACCGTACAAATCATTAATTACAGATTCATGTACTAGACTTTGAGGCTAGTGATATTATCCGGCTGCTCAAATCGAACTACATAGAGTGAGGCTAGAAGCTACGACCTTGCGGTTGAAAGTTGAACGCCTTAACCAACAAGCTAGTGCTCTGAAAATTTCAAATGTCTGTCATAAGTTATATGGAGATATTTCGGCAATGCATATCCGGAATCTTCAGAGGTACTGATGCTATTTCTTGGATTCAAACCCACATCATACGGTTTCATAATCTGTAATGTTATCACTAAGCTATATAAGTTGTTCATAGCACATTTTTGCCGTTTTTAGTATGATTGAATATGCATTAAGTTTGTATTTACGCGATTAAATCAAACCCACTCCTACATTTTATTTTAATTACGAATGTAGTTAAGTCTCTAAAATTTTTTGTCCGCATTATTATTATTTTACATGAGACTATTTGGTTTCATAATGCTGTATTCTTTATTTCTGATAATAGTGTTATTATAATTAATGTTTTTGTTTGTGTTAATGAACACAACAATAAGTGATTTACTACGTAACCTCAAATGAATTAAATAAATTTTTGACTTTCTACTATGAAGACACTTTAAAACCTTTTCTCTTAATTAAAATAACCCATTGTGTCATTGAATAAAAATAAGGAGAATTCAGCGAAGAAAATTATCTTTAATAATTCAGACTCGTAAATATTTCCAGCCTCATATTTTTCTTTTACCCTTTTATTATTGCGTAACTTCATCTGATAATAAGAGTCTCGAATCACTTTATGATGCAATCTTTCCTATCCTTCTATAAACATATTTTCCATATGACTATAAATACGAATGTACATGTTTTCCCTTAATTAAATGGTATTTTTAAGGTAGGAACAAATTTATATCTTGTTTATTCATAGTACAAATGAAATATCCCTACCTTTATCATATTACTGCTTTCCTCATCATAGTTTGTGTTCTCTTTATTTTTCTAAAACTAGTTTATTCGCGGTAATAATAATAGTAGTAATCAAATGTCAACATCAAATAATCATCAAACAAATGAAAATTTCACTACACATTCCAGATCTAATACACCAACGAATACAGTTTATACTAATAATGCAACAATTAATTCTAGCCCATTGAATAATCCTCAGTATGCCAATTATATACCTAAAGATAATTTACAACAACAACACCACCAACAGCAGCCACAGATGAAAATATCCAGTCCTCAATCTTCTTCATGTCTTCTCGGGTAAATTTTTTTATATGACTGTAGATGATATATAAAAAAGCCGTAGAAATTTGCATGTAATTAAACGGTTTCATGCTATTCTTCAACTTTGTCTAGTTACATTTCAATATTGAAATAGAGATATTAAAACATAATATTCATGATGAGCTACTACTAATTGTTATACCTTTTTATCTAATATGAATCTATTTACTTCATTTTAGGATAATAATAAAAGTTTCAAATTGTTTAAACATTTATATCACAAGCTTGTTTTGATTAGACAGTGATTGAAAACCACGAAACACTGAACAGCTACTTTCTACTAGTATGAATTTATTCATCTACATGATTATTAAATCCCATTATTTATAATTTATTCACTTTGTATTATTTGATCCATAAAAGTTCTTAATTTTTTGTATGTGTACATCACAAGATTGAGCTGTGCTTTTCAGTTTGCAAAGCTCGTAGATGATGTTTAGTTGTGCTGAAAAACTATAAAATTACCATCTTGTCGAATATATTTATAGTTGTGCTTTGGTGTTTGGAGACGTCGAATGACATAATTGAGAATCGGTCATAATTGTACAGTTGCGGTCATTCTGGATATTGATCTAGGTTCTCAGTTCCAGCATTCTTTTATATATACATTTCTATTCTATCTTCTTAAATCATTTTCTAAATGTTTAATATTTCTCACTTTTATTACTATTACAGTTATTTCTGCTCTTTACTAATTATCGTGTTAACTTCAACTCAGATAATATACTGGGACAACTTAGGACTAATGCATATTCGTGTTTTTCTCCTCGTTAATCATAACTAACTAACTGCATTATCCGAATGCCACTTCACTTTCTTCAATTTACACAAATGAAATTGCCGATCACATTGCTTTATTCATGATGTCATATTCGATAATATATGAAGATTGTTTCTTATAACTAGTATTGAGAAAGTATGTGTTATATTTGAACATCAAGTTTGAGATAGAAAATAATCGAGCTTATTATCGAATCAAATATGATTTAGATGAGATTGAAAAAGAACTGATAACTAGTGAACTTATCCTTACCATGTATTCATTGTAGAGCCATATCATAAAGACTTTAATAGGAAATTTTACACCTTTTCTAACAAAATTCATAAATGTTTTCATTTTCCTAGTCTCATCTGTACGTCTAATGTATTAACTGAACAAGTGTACATGCTAATATTGAGTTTGAAAATGTGTTATAAATGATACACATGCACTTCATATTTTGTTAAAAAATGCAACGAAAATGCTATTAAATTTCTTTCCATTTCTCTTTATCTACATTCTCTACCCTGTGGTTGAAAATTAATTATTGTGAGCTAAATCACTTTTCTGTTTAAAAATTGTAGGAATCTGTTTTAATTGGTCTACACTGTAAATACACTTTTCTAAAACATTTCTATATGATACAATTAATATTTGAAAGTAATATCTCTTTACATTTATTGTTTATTTTATTACTAGAAATGATAGTAATGTAGTACAGCATTCATCGAATCCACCTTCTCAACCCAGTATGACTATTTCACAACAAAATCATCGTCGGTCACATATTCCAGCTAATACAAATATATCTGTCCATCAATCGTCTCAAATAACTCAACAACAGTCACAGTTGTGTCCACCTAGATCTGTGTTTTGGGAAGGCGAAATTCATGTTGCTGATCCAAATGGTATGTCTATGACTAATCGTTTTCCACTACGCCTACTGTTAGAACAATGTGCCGTACGTGATGTGAGGTATGTAAAAACTTGCTTTGCCTTATTTGATTTCACATCTGTTATGATGTTGCTTTTTTGCTGAAAAACATATTTGACTATATGATTGGTTAAAATCTATCTTTGAACTGCTAATCCCTCTACTGTCTACTCTTAGGCAACCGACAGGATGTTTTGAATCTCGGTTTCACTACAAAGGTGTTCTTCATGGAGCCGGAATCCGTGTTGCAACATCGTATAGCTTTTTTATAGATTGACCAATCACATCAGCCCTCATACCGGTAACAGCACAAGAGATGAAGTTGGTCACGATCAAATCCTCCCTACACCTCCTAATACCTCTCTTATCTCCCCGACTAACCCTTCCCACGTTCTTTTATCATCTCCTCACCTCTAAGGCGAACGATTCGAGTACGCGGAACGTTATTCCTGATCTCCTGAAACCACGCTCTGAACACACACGTAGGATATTTTAACGTCCGAACACTGTGCCAAATAGGACAACAGGCTTCTTTATCTAGGACTTTAGAATCTCGCGCCATCGATGTGCACTGTGTCTCCGAAACACGCATACAGGACCCGAGTGGCGTCATTCATTTGACCTCACCATGTCAAAATAAAGAACCAACTCGGTTGACACTTCGTGTGACTGAAAGCCCTGATGCTGCTTCTCGTGGCCTCGCCGGCGTAGGTATAGCATTGAGTCGTAGGGTAGAACTAGCTCTCTTAGACTGGATCCCAGTAGACAGTCGTTTGTGCGCTGTCCGACTAAACGGAACAATAAGGACTCGGGAAGATAGGGACACTCGTCGTTGCCTCTTCGTCGTCTCTGCCTATTCTCAGATGATGTAAACGATGAGTTTTACAGAAAGCTTTCCGACTTTCTCCGAAAAGCTAGGCGCTCTGATGTAGTAATAGTAGCTGGTGACCTTATTCCTCAAGTAGGTAAACTAAGCGATAGGGAAAGACACCTAGGTGGATCTTATGGTGTCGTGGCTCAAAGAACAGATAATGGCGACCGTCTGTTGCAGCTATGCTCAGATAACTGCCTGTTTCTTACAAATACTAACATTAAGCGTAAGGAAAAACATCTTTTGACATGGCGATCCCCGAATTCGTCCCAACGTTGGACCCAAATAGATCACATCGCTATCAGCCACCGATGGAGGGGTTCGATAGAAGACTGTCACTCATTCTGGAGCACATGCTTAGATTCAGATCATGCTGTAGTGCGAGCGCGTATTTGTCTGTGTCCTACTGGACGTAGGAAAGACGCTGCAAGGCAAGTTCTTAGGGTCCTACTTAATGATAGTCCAGCTAAGAATATATTTCAGGAACAAATAGGAAAACAATTAGGCAGCCATGTATGTGATACCTATCTCGAGGCAGCGTGGAATGATATCCGAAAAGCTGTGGAAACAGCAGTGATATCTGCTAGTACGGTAAACCATAAGGTTAGGGAGCAACACTGGATCTGAGCAGCCTCTACCGCACCGATAGATGCTCGGAAACTCATTCCACCTGGCTCTGAACATAATGATGAGCGGAGTCAGCATAAGCGCAAGCTGGTAAGAAGCCTACGCAATGATCGCGAACAGTTGTGGGTAGCGAAAGCAAGAGATGTGGAAAAGGCAGCGACAATAGGTAATAGCAGACAACTGTTCAGACTTGTTAAGGAAACCGGTATTTGGAACCCGACCGTTAGCGAAACAATCTCAGAGAAAGATGGACATATTATTCATTCTCAATCCAGGAGATTGGATCGATGGGCAGAACACTTTAGGGATCAGTTCAACTGGCCTTCAGCCACACTTCGGTTTCCCACGATCTCCAGTCGACCTGAATGGCAAGTTAATGTAGGTCCTCCGTCTCTTTACGAAGTTGAAAGAGCCACAGGAAATCTGAAGCGAGGGAGAGCAGCAGGCTCTGACAGGTTTACTACTGAGATTTTTAAGGATGGTGGTTCAGTATTAGCAGTGAGATTAACTGAGGTCTTAGGTAGAATTTGGGAACTGGACGTAATCCCATCTGACTGGTCTCAATCACGGATTGTGCCAGTTTTTAAGAAAGGACAAAAGTCCTCTTGTGACCATCACAGAGGAATCATTTTGACTAATATAGTGTCTAAAATATTAGCCTCAATATTACTTCGATGCCTAACCAAAGCTCGTGAAAAGCAGACTAGAGTAAACCAGGCTGGTTTTCGACCTGGACGTGGTTGTATAGACCAGATGTTCACACTATGTCAGGTCCTAGAACATAGACACTCATTCAGACACCCCACAATCGTAATATTTCTCGTCCTTAAGACGGCATTCGACTCTGTTGATCGTGAGGTTCTGTGACAGTGTTTGTCACTGAATGGAGTACCAAAGAAGTACATTAACCTTATAAAGGCTCTCTACTCGAACACAACTGGTAGAGTGAGAGCTTATGGCGAACTGTCATCAGAATCGATTACCTCAAGTGGTGTTCGTCAGGGCTGTCCACTCTCTCCATTCTTGTTTAACTTTGTCATTGACGTGCTTTTAGAGATGACACTTTCCTCATTTTAATTTTCAGGGGTTGAACTTCTGCCGGGAGGTTCACTTGTTGACTTAGAATATGCCGATGACATAATTCTATTTGGTGAGGACGCTGACAAAATGCAGAGTCCTCTGACCACTCTGAGCAACAATGCAAGCATGTTCGGGATGCGGTTCTGCCTCTCGAAGTGCAAAATGTTACTTCCAGTATTGATTGGGTTGCATCGACACCCGAACTAATGATAGGGAGTGAAGTAGTTGAGCGTGTCGACTGCTTCACTTATCTTGGAAGTCTCATCAGCCCTTGTGGTCTGGTGTGTGACGAAATCTCAGCACGGATACAGAAGGCTCGAGTAGCTTTTGCCAACTTGCGTCATTTATGGCGTGGGCGAGATATCCGTCTGTCAACCAAAGGACGTGTTTCCGGCGCAGCTGTTCTTTCCGTCCTACTTTATGACAGTGAAACGTGGCCGGTAAGAGTAGAGGATATCCGTTGGTTACTAGTATTCGATCATAGGTGTCTCCGAAACATTGCTCGTATATCCTGGGACCACCGGATAAGTAACTCAGTTGTTAGGAAACGGGTACTAGGTAAGGATGGCAAATCCATTGATGAAGTAGTAAAACTTCATGAGTTGAGATGGCTGGAACACGTGTTACGTATGACCAACGACCGACTGCCTCGACGTGCTATGTTCAGTGGTATAGGAGTAGGTTGGAAGAAAGCTAAGGGCGGCCAGATCAAAACATGGCACAAGTCCATGAAGTCACTGACAAGTGGACCGAGTCATGTTGTTAGGTGTAGACTACCTGGTTGGGGACCATGAGATGATAGCAACTGATGGTTAGAGACCCTGAATGACATGGCTCAAAATCGTTTGCAATGGCGCAGGTACATCAACTCTTTATGTTCTCCCAAGTTCTAATCTTCTGAATTTGTCATGTCCCTTGTGTTCTCTTTCCAAATTTATTTCACTGAATTATAATCCTTGAATAGCATCTTCAAACCCTAATGTTTCCGATTACTGCTTATACTTTTACTACCTCCACTACTATGGGATTTGAATGGACAACTGCATCTCTGTGCTAATGTGGTATTGCAACACGAACTGATGTACGTACGTACGAATTTCTACGTTGTTAATGACTGCCTGACTGATGTTTATTGAAGCTCAGAGTTATTTTAATGTAACTATTAGGTAATACGTAACAACATCAAACACTGTAGATTCACTGAGAAATAGATTTGTAAATGTATATTTGAATGATATGACTAAGTTGTATTTTCATATTTAATTGTATGCGTAACCGCAGTACTACTTATGTATAGATGTATCAGTCTTTAACCTACACTCATCTTTTGGTTTCATAGCCCCTTAGTAGAAGAGATAGAGCATCATCTGATCCTTTACATTTGCTGTATAACATCAGTATCTATTCGTTACCGATATGGACGATCGGTTTTAACTTTTATAATTATCTTCATATTTACTAATATCATCGCTTAAGATTTACAAACGTTAATATTTTAAATTAGAAGTTGAATCTTGATCTAATTATTTTGGTTACTTCTGTCACTTTATGTCAGCTCTCTTAGTTTTTGGCTCTACTGTCTCTTCTTCATCGTTGTATTGTTCGAGCAAAGAATTTACTCATCGTTGATTTTGTAATTCTCAATATAGATTTTCATTGTCTTATTAAAAAAATCAAATAAATTTTGTCATTCTACATCCTTGATATTATTCTTGTTCGAATTTACCAACAAAATGAAGACTAAACTGATTTTGATCAAGATGAGTGAGAGAGCATGAAAGTGAATGGGAGAGTTAACAATACATATTCATGACGTTGTATAATGACGGTTATTATGCATGTGATGCTATGAAAATTTAATAGTCCGATGAACTTTTTTTTCTGTTTTTAAAATACACACTAATAATCCTTTTTTCTCTCCTTTATATACTTGTATGTTTACTGTTGCTGTTACAATTATAACATTCCTTTTTTCATTTTGATTGTTGAATTTTCTCAATGTTATCATTTGTTTTACTGAATTCTATTCGATTATGGTACTTCCTAGTCCTAGCTATCTTTTTTTTTCAACATTCAATAACAGTGCAATATCTAGCATTTCCAAACATTTTTCTGTTCATTTAGTGGGTGACAGTGCTACATTTTGTTATTTATCATTTATTTGGCCTTTAAAACTGTCGTATTACTTTTGTTCATATTGCTTTTTCCTTTCTCTGCTCTTGAGGGTTTAATATTATTAACTAAATGCAGTTTTTTGTGATGTTCACAAAAGTTTTTATAATTTTCTTTGTCATACTGGCTTATATTGGTGATTATTTGACTGGATACGTGATGTAATTTTTATGTACACAAAACCTAATACGTTCTATTTTATATCTTGTCTTTCCTAAACCGATAAATATCTATCACTTTTTGTAAAAAAAAAAAACTCTACTTATCTACTTGGCGCATTATTCATCCTTATCATCTGGCCTATACAGTTACAAGACCAATTTTTAGCAAAATTTAATGGTTTCATTCAAATGTTTCTTTTTTTCCTTCTATTGACATCATTTATGTATCATTAAGAATATTCGTACGATCACTGAGCAATTCATAGTAGTCGCTGTTAGATTTACTTCTTTAAGTAAGAATAAAGTACAACTTTGAAAGCTAATCGTAAAATAATGCCCAGATATGAATTAATTCTTCTTTTCAAATAATATTCTCTATGCCCAATCTTACTATCTTTAATGTTACTAATACCACTTCTACTAATTTGGTATTCACTTCACTGTCCTAATATGTGATATAGTAACTTGAACAGATATATATGAATAGAGATCACATGATTATTGTAATAAGCCTAAATTGCATTGTAATCGTAACTAAGCAATATATATTTTCTTTTTTTATTACATATACTTCAAGTCAAATAAATTTACAAATGTGGGGACCCGTAGCACAATTATCGATTATTCAAGCTTATAGAGATAGTCTATTGGTTGAACGTCTATCAAGTCCACTTGGTAATGGTCAGTTATTAGCTCGTTTATTAGTCGATTTACCTGTGAGTGCATCCAATCTTAAATATTTTTTATAATATATTTGTATTTTTTATAATTGTGTTAAATGGTTGTATTATATATATATAATCTCAAATTTAATTTAATATTGAACTTTGAATCTTTATGTTGTACATTCGTAATGCATTTTAACTCTTAACTGTTAATCTATCAGCCTAGTGGTCGTTTATCTAGTTTTGTGTCTTCATAAATAAAGTGACTTAAGGCATAATACAGAAACTTGTGCTTACTTATTGAAATTGAACTAATCAAATTATTCATTCATACTACAGTCATTTGTATAGGGATGATCTTAATTATATTTCAGTGATAAATCTATCATATAGAAAATGATTGAGCTTAAATACTCTTTTGATATTGTTCAATAGTAGCTTTTATTTTTAGATTATATGAAAGGTTATTTTTATATGAATGAAAGTTTGGAATATCAGTTTATATACCTTTATATTTGGTAACACGTTTACATCGTCAGCACACATCGAATGCACTGGTTTAGTTAAAATCAATGTGAATTTTTTATACTGTGATGGATTGTGAACTTTCCGTTTAATATATGAAGGGTTTCAACAAGAAACGATGATCTCATGCTACATCTTTACTATGTCATGAATTATTTCTAACTTTGATGTTCGTATACCTTAACACAGGTAAATCATTATTCACTTCCTAAATTCAACTAATCATTTGAAATATTTACTCAGGACACTAAAAGAAGGATTCATTTTAGAGAACAACTGTAGTTTATTATTTCATTTTTCATACCTTTAAAATTAGTGTAGAATGCTAGCTATAAGATTATGGTTGTGCTAATTAGATTTTTATATTAGATATATTCTGTATTCATTGGCTTCTAAAATTTACGTAATGCTTAGTTAAAGTCTTCATAAAGGTGTTTGTGTAAAATAGTCTAAAATTATTCATTGAAAAATAATAGTAACACCAATAAATAAGTAAAAAAATGCCGATCTGTAAATAAGCTGTAAAATAAATTTGCTACATGATATTAACTACTTTTGGTCAAATGTACCATTCTCTACTGGTTGTCACTAAGAAGAAAAACAATAACAATTTCAAGTGAATATCACCATAACACTTAACTTCCACCACTTGTATATTCTGACCATTTTTGTCCTGATTGTTCAAGGTAATATTTGTAATCACCAATGAAATACATAGTTTCATGAGTTAAAATTAATTTCTTTTTTTAAATAGGAAATATGAATTAAATTAATCGACAATTAAAATTATTATTTTGTTAAAAAAATATATGTTCTCTAATGATGTAAAAATTGTGTTGTTTTGTGTGCCAACTTGTAAATTAGCTGATAACTATTACTGTTTACCTATTCATTATCTTTTGTTTTTCTATTTATTCAAAGGATTCTAATGATGTTAACAATTTAAGCGCATTACTGTCAACACAAACAAATCAAATGATTATGCCATTGGGGATTTTGTCACCATCCACTTATCGTTTATCTAATCCTATTCAACCGGGTATTGTAGGATTTATCTGTTTAATTTACAATCCTAATCGTAATCGAATTCATGGTGAGTTTTTTTTTTGAGAGGTAGAAAAAAATAGTTCTTTTGTGTGGACAGAATGAATAGTGGGTTTTTGTTTCTTATTGAATGGTCTTTATCTTCCATTTGAGTAGATATATATTCCACCATATCGGTTTATTATCGAAGCACTTCTTATTTTAGAACGGCATTTGCACCAATTCACTTTTTTTATTTATAAAAAAACATGAAATTAACACTGGTCATAGTAAATCATTTGTTAATGTTGTTTTTTACTTAAAAACTGATTATTACTATTATTGTGAGCTTATGCTTAATTGTATGTGTGTGTGTTTGGTTACTTGTTTGTCTAAAAAAATCCATATTCTGCACATATCTTATACTTTTCAAGGTTGTAAAAGTGTTCTCCACCTCGATTTTCTTTTCAATTGGTAACGTCCAATATTTACGATATTGTTTGTATCACGTTTCAACAAATAACTACATGGTCATAGTTTTAAACCTTATAAATTACCATCTACTGAATACAATTCAATTTGAGCTTATTTGCTATCAAAATATATTCAAAATTTCAATCATTTTTTTATTTGTTCAATGCTGAATTTATTGATTGAGTTAATGGTTATTATTGGTTGTTACGCTGAAAAGTAAATGAACATGTTAACTATTAGTGTTATATATATATATATCATAAATGCATAGAACTGGTTATTATTATCGCTGTTGTAACATAATATACTCTACTTATGCTACACCTTTTCTATTATCAGTATATTCATAGTTATTTTTCTAAAACAGTTTTGTTGTATGCAGCAGTAGTAGAAGTAGTACACTGGTGGTATTTACATATTGATGTATTCACATATACATATATATGTTACTTCGTGTGTATGTTTCTTTGTTTACTATATTGTTAGGTTTATTTAAATATAAATGGTAACGCCTAAACTAACTTATTCTTGTATACATAGATATCCTATCTTTTTTTGCTGTTTTGTTTTATTTTTTAATTGTAGCTTATATTTTCAAGTTCATTTACTCATTGTATATGATATTGAAATGCAACTAAATATTTGCAGAAATAGAGTTTATCGTAACTATTGTTGAGCTATAATAAATAAAAATTTATTGTGTGTGTATGTCTGCTTGTTAAGTAAAATTTTTATTTGTTGATTCACTCTTTCATGCCTCCACCCCGATTGTTACTGTATATATCCGTGTTTAAATGTATGTAAGTATGTCTACATATACTACTTGCTACTGATGTAGTTTTGTTAATATTTCATTTACAAACCATCTCTACCAAAGTTTTTCTTTTCTGTTTGCGTTTTCTCTATCTAAATAAAAATGAACAAATTATATTTGTTACCATTACTTACTTACTTACTCACTTACGCCTGTTACCCCCAATGGAGCATAGGCCGCTGACCAGCATTCTCCAACCCACTCTATCCTGGGCCTTCTTTTCTAGTTCCATCCAATTCTTGTTCATTTTTCTCATGTCTATCTCCATTTCCCGGCGTAATGTGTTCTTTGGTCTTCCTCTTTTCCTTTGACCTTCAGGATTCCATGTGAGGGCTTGTCTTGTGACACAGTTGGGTGCTTTCCTCAATGTGTGTCCTATCCACTTCCAGCGCTTCTTCCTGATTTCTTCCTCCGCTGGAATCTGGTTTGTTCTCTCCCACAGTACGTTGTTGCTAATAGTGTCCGGCCAATGGATCTGAAGTATTTTGCGTAGACAACTGTTAATAAACACCCGTATTTTCTGGATGATGGCTTTCGTTGTTCTTCAGGTTTCTGCCCCATACAGTAGAATTGTCTTGACATTTGTATTGAAAATCCTGACCTTGGTGTTGGTTGACAGTTGCTTTGAGTTCCAGATGTTCTTCAGTTGTAAATATGCTGCTCTTGCTTTGCCGATCCGCGCCTTCACATCTGCATCAGATCCACCCTGTTCATCAATGATGCTGCCCAAATACGTAAAGGTTTTTACATCTTCCAAATCTTCTCCGTCAATTGTGATTGGATTGGTGCATTCTGTGTTGTATCGGAGAATCCTGCTTTTCCCTTTGTGTATATTGAGACCTATTGCTGCTGAGGCTGCTGCCACACTGTTTGTCTTCTCCTGCATCTGTTGTTGCGTTTGGGATAGAAGGGCCAGATCGTCTGCGAAGTCTAGATCATCCAACTGCATCTTAGATGTCCATTGTATCCCGCGCTTTCCTTCAAACGTTGACGTCTTCATGATCCAGTCGATCACCAGGAGAAAGAGAAAGGGTGAGAGTAAGCAACCTTGCCTAACACCGGTCTTCACTTTGAACGACTTTGTCAACTGTCCTCCATGCACGATTTTGCAGTGTAATCCATCATATGAGTTCTGTATGATATTGACTATCTTCTGAGGCACGCCGTAGTGTCGAAGAAGTTTCCATAGTGTTGTTCTGTCCACGCTATCAAATGCCTTTTCGTAGTCAATGAAGTTGATGTAGAGTGATGAATTCCATTCAATTGATTGTTCCACAATGATCCGTAGAGTTGCGATTTGGTCTGTACACGATCTATTCTTACGGAATCCTGCCTGTTGGTCACGAAGTTGGGCGTCTACGCAGTCCTTCATCCTGTTTAACAATACCCTGTTGAAGACTTTTCCCGGTATTGAGAGAAGAGTGATGCCCCTGTAGTTATCACACTTGCTGAGATCGCCTTTCTTCGGTATTTTGATTAGAAGTCCTTCTTTCCAGTCTGTTGGTACTTGTTCCTCATCCCAAATCTTATTGAAGAGAATGTGGAGTATCCTTGCAGTTGCCGCTACGTCTGCTTTTAGTGCCTCTGCTGGGATGTTGTCCGGTCCTGCTGCTTTGCCACTCTTGATTTGTCTGATGGCCATGCTGATTTCTTCAATTGTTGGTGGGCCAACATTGATTGGGAGGTCCGTGGGTGCTGCTTCGATGTTGGGTGGGTTCAGTGGAGCTGGTCGATTCAACAGTTCTTTGAAGTGTTCTACCCACCTGTTTTGTTGCTCTTCAATGTTGGTGATTACCTTGCCTTCCTTGCTTTTCACTGGTCGTTCTGGTCTGCGGCGATTTCCAGAGAGTTTCTTTGTCGTGTCATACAATTGTCTCATGTTTCCTTCTCTTGCAGCCTTTTCCGCCGTCGTTGCTAAATCTTCCACATATTTACGTTTGTCGGTCCTGATGCTCCTCTTCACTTGTTTGTTTATTTCCGTGTATTCAGCTTGTGCCTTGGCTTTTTCTGCTCTTGTTCGGCTGGTATTGATCGCTGCCTTCTTGTTCCTCCTTTTTAGAATCTTATCCAGTGTACCAACAGTGATCCATTCCTTGTGGTGGTGCTTCTTGTGACCCAGGACCTCATGACATGTTGAAGTGATTGCCTCTTTGATCCCCTTCCAGTTGCTCTCCACAGTAGTTCCTTCTCCATTGAGTAGATCATGAAAGGCCTGGAACTTGTTGCTGAGGGCTATCTTGAATTTGTTGAGTTTGTTAGTATCCTGGAGAAAGGCCGTATTGAACTTTTGTGATACTGTCTGCCCCGTTGTCCAGTGCTTCTTGAGTTTCAATTTCATCTTGGCGACCAGTAAGTGATGATCTGATGCTATATCAGCTCCTCTCTTGGTTCTCACGTCCTCTATAGTCCTCCTGAACGTTTTGTTGATGCAAATATGGTCGATTTGGTTTTGTGTAGAGTGATCCGGTGAAGTCCATGTGGTTTTGTGTATGCGTTTATGTGGGAATATGGTGCCGCCTATGACCAGCTTATTGAAGGCACATAGGTTTGCAAATCTCTCACCATTTTCGTTTCTTTCTCCCAGTCCGTGTTGTCCCATGATGTCTTCATATCCAGTGTTGTCCGTTCCAACCTTGGCGTTGAAATCTCCCATCAGAATGGTCAGGTCCTTTGTTGGGCACTTCTCGACTATTGACTGCAGCCTATTGTAGAATTGATCTTTAGCGTCTTCATTGTAGTCGTTGGTAGGCGCATAGCATTGGATGATGTTCATTGAAATGCCCTCTTTCTTTGTTTTAAACGAGGCTTTGATGATCCTTGGTCCATGAGATTCCCATCCTATAAGTGCATTTTGCGCTTGTTTGGACAGCATCAATGCAACTCCTTGTGTATGTGGTGCATTTTCTTCTTCATGGCCGGAGTATAACAGGAGCTCTCCTGTAGTTAGTCGTTGTTGTCCAACTTGTGTCCAATGTGTTTCACTGATCCCAAGTACCTCTAGGTTGTATCTTCTCATTTCTGCAGCAATCTAGAAGGCTCTTCCGGTGTCCCACATTGTACGAACATTCCATGTACCTAAATAAATGGTCGCTCTGGTTGTCAGAAGGGGCATCGGCCTCGTAACTTCCAAAGGGATTCGGCTTTCATCATGAGGCGTCATAATTCTTCTAAATGAAGATCTTCTGACTCCCAGGGCAGAGTTTAAAAGGTTTGAATAATTTTTTCTGGTTAGCGTTTTTTTAGCGATTTAGCTTTCTACGGGATGGGGACGCTAACCCCATGCCCAACCCTCCTCCTTTATCCGGGCTTGGGACCGGCAGTAGCCCCCAGAGGTACTCCAGGCGGAGTTATATTTGTTACCATACTCATATATAACCAGTTAGTTACATTGACAAACATTATTATCATTTATGCTACAACCATCGAATAAATATTTCACTCATCTTTTTTCTACTACAACTACACATGACACTCAAGTCGTCGGTTTTCCATTACGTTAGTTAGCAGTGGTGAATTTTACTGTTGTTTTACGCAAGTTTATAATGAAATCTAAAATTTTTATAGCATATATACTCCTTCATTATATATATATATATATATATATATATATATATATATATATATATATATATAGATAGATAGATAGATAGATAGATAGATAGATAGATAGATAGATAGATAGATAGATAGATAGATAGATAGATAGATAGATAGATAGATAGATAGATAGATAGATAGATAGATAGATAGATAGATAGATAGATAGATAGATAGATAGATAG